CGGCAGAGGGTGAGAGACAGGGAATCAAGGGTGGGAAAAAAAGCAAAATATACAGGAAACAAATGAAAAATTATTTGTTGCCAATAACACGTATGTTGATGTGCTTTACTGAGCCAATGTACGCTGCTTTCTGAATGGAAAAATCTCATTTTGTATGCTATAATGATGTACAGTGAATGAATGTAAATAAATAAATTTAAATTAAAAAAAAAGGCATACCAGCCGCACTTAGCGGTTCACCCTGTGCCCCTTGCTGGTCCGCGGTGCTGCCCTCCCACTGCGATAGCCCCACACGTGGAAGGCCCTCATGATGGAGACTGGATCAGCAGAAGCGCTCTCTGAAGGGATCGGGCACCTGCCCAGCTGACGACAGGACTGTCAGGACACCCAGCCTGGAGGCTCACCCCGAGCTCAGCGAGCGGAGCACACACGCACTGCCTCCCGCTGTCTCAGTCGGACTCTGCTCACGGTTGTTCCAAGCCGGGGCTTCTCAGGGCTCTGCAACCCCTGGCCAGCCCCACGCATGCCCTTGCACTCCAAAGGGCTTAGGTCCAGCGTGTCTTAAACCTAATTTATGTTACTTTCTCTGCAGAGCAGTGACATCCCTGCGGGCCTCACGTCCCACCCTGTTGGATGGAGCTTTGTCCTGCCCCGTCCTTCTCCCTCAGGGAAGATCGGACCTTGCACAAAGCCTGGGCTGCAGCCCCTCCTGCCCACGCTGCCTGCCGGGTCCTGGCTCAGGAGCTTTCCAGCTCTCTCACACGCCGTGTCTAGACAACTCTCTGCTTCTGGATGGGCTCATTGCAGCACGGCCGTGACCAGGACGAAAACCTCTCCAGCTCTCTCCTCTTCTATGTTCTAGTCACATACGTGTATGTATGTTTTAAATTTTGTAGCTTATTAGCTTTTGTTTGTTCGCTTTTAGATTTTTTTTTTTTTTCTACAGGGCGTATATGCTTGCCAGAAAAGAGAAAGATCCCTTCTCTTCTGTCAGGATTTTGGGCATGCACACACATGCACCTGGTGTGTTTCTCAAGCCTTCGGGTCCTGGACTTGAACCACATAGTCGGCCATGTGGGATCTAGTGCCTTAACCACCACGCCACCTACGAGGCCCCGTCACGTACACGCTTCAGAAGGTTCCCAGATGTGCTGTGCACTCCATAACATCTGCGCCGCCCTCTCACTGCCTCGCTGCTTTATATTCAGCCAGTGGGCTTTCCTCTGCTTTTCTGTCAGGGCAGTTCTCGCCTGAAGACCCTCTGAAATGCCAGCCCTGTACTAAGCGTGTGCTGGCGCCCTGTGGCATGGGCAGGGCTCATCCTCTGCTCTCTGTCCGTCTCTCACCCGACTCGCCCCTTGACTTAGACCTTGATTCCACGTCGCACGGAGGCACAAGCCTGTGTTGGCACGTTAAGGGGAGGGCAGACGTGGCCATCTGACAACACCGAGCTCCACTTGGAGTCAGCCGACCACTGTGTGATTTCAGGCACTTTTTAAACTTTTTAAATTTGCTCTAGGGTGTGTACGGTCACTGGAGAGAGAGAAAGGAGAAAGGGAGAGGGGAGAAAGAGAGAGAAATCACCCCCGAGGAGGGATCGCCTCTGGGAACTTGAGGGCATGCACACACATGTCCATCATGTCTTTCAAGCGTCTGGGTCTGGGGCTTGAACTGTGCAGTCGACCGTGTGGGATCCAGTCGCCTTTACCGCCATAGAACCAGCTAGCCAAAGCATTAAGGTTTCTGGTGGGTCAATCAAATCTGTTGGGATTTTATTTTTAACATTTTTTTTTTCACGCTAGAGTGTGCACATGTGTGAGGACAGAGAAGCACCCGCAGGGTCTGGTGGTACTGTAACTCCCTCCTCTAGTCCCTGAGCCCTGCAGCCCGGCTCTGGCTGACTTGGCCGAGGACCTCAGCATCGAGCCCCACAGCCCAGCTCTGGCTGACTTGGCCGAGGACCTCAGCATGGCCACCTGCAGGAGCCACTGCTCTTGAGCAGCGTGTTCCCGCTGTGCCACGCAGCCTGCGTTTTCTTTTAGCACGAATCCACCCCAAGGGGTTGCTGGGACTCCCATGCCCACCTGTGTCAGGTCTGCTGCCCCACTAGGTTGCCAAAGCCACCAGGCCTGACCAACCCAAGCTGCGGACATGGCAGATCCTGGCAGAGAGCTGGCAAGAGGAAAGAAAGAAGGGCCCCTGCCCTGGTGGTGGCAAGATGGCGTTGCCTGTCTGGAGGAGGGGGCTGGCGGACCATTGAAACGTGGGCCTGAAGCTCAGGGGAGAGCAGCGGGCTGGCGTGGAGGATGACGTTGGAGCCCGTGACCAAAGCCACTGATGAACGGCATCACCAAAACAGGCCTAGGAGCACCTGCACCTGACGCCAAGGAAAAGACAAGGAGCAAGACAAGCTCTTACAGAAAGACTTTCTGTTCTTTAAATTGAATGAAAAAGAAAAAGGAGGAGAAGAGAAGATGCAGGAAGAGGGAGGAGGGGGAGGAGAGCCAGAAGCACCAGGGCTCCCGGGAGCAGCAGGTGCCACCTCCACAGCCACCACGGAGAATGGGGGCCACTGCATTTGACAACCCACCCTGGATAAGGTGGTTTCAGGGGAGAGAAGAGAATGAAACAGACGACTGGGGCTGCAGGAGCCAACGCGGTCTAGACAGGCTCCCGTGGATCCCAACGGTGCTGTGAGGGCAGCCATAAAGCCACCCTGCCAGCCGAGCGGAGAGTGAGAGTGAAGGAAGGCTTTTCTTGTTCTCTTACTGTCTTTCTTCCCACGTTTCTTCCTTCCCTTCTTCCTTTTTTGTAGGTATCTAGAACATATCTAAATGTTCAGCTCTAACTTACAAACCTGTGAGCCGACAGGAACGACACAGTGAACAGGGACAGGGACAGAACAATGAGTTAGCGCTGACCCATGGCATCAGGAGGCCAGAGTGGGTGGCCAGAGGCTGTAACTTCAGGGGGAAATAAAAGGCCTTCCTCTTTTTTTTTGGAGAGGTTTTTGCTATGGGGTGTGTGCGCTTGCAAGAAAGAGAGAGACAGAGACAAAAAGTGAGAAATCACCCACCCCCCCAGGGAGATGGCCACACTGCAATCCCTTCTCCATTCTCCTCTTGGGATCTTGGGCACTCACTCCTGGCTTGAGTTTAAGCCGCTGGGTCTGGGACTTGAACCACGGTCGACTACATGGGAGTCCAGCAACATAGCCATTACACCAACTGCTGGTCCCCTGAGTAAACAGTTTTGAGGTGATATATCTTTCCCCCTAGTTGTATGTTCATGTTAAAATATACAAATAAAGAATATGTATTATAAGAATCAGTTGTATTACAAAATGTTTCATATTATTTTGCTACTTAAAAAATGTAAATATAACGCGGGTTTTCCTCTGAAACAATGATTTACATTATAGTCTGTGATTTCTTGGCTGCACTGTTAGAATCACAAGGGGAACAGAAAGAAAGAAGGAAGGAGAGAGAGAGAAAGAAGGAAGGAAGGACGGAGGGAGGGAGAGAGGAAGGAAAGAAGAAAGAAAAAGAAAGGAGAAAGAAAGGGAAAAAAGAGAGAGAGATTGAGGGGCGAGACCAAGGCCGGCGCCCCACCCCAGGGATAAGCTTAGTAGCCTGGGCGAGGCCTCCGTGGCGGTGGCAAGCTCCCACTTGACTCCAAAGAGCTGGCTAGAACCACGGACTTGAGCAATCCCAGCAGGGGCCATGCGGGTTCAGAGCCTGCGTGTGCTGGAATGCACTTCCCGGGAAGGCCCTCTATGAAGTTACAGGGGCGGCGCTGACTTGGGGAGCCAGAGAGGCCTGCCATTGACAATCAAACCCAGCCCAGTGCTCCAGTCGGGACAGGCAGCTGGAGAAAAGGGCCCGGCGTGTGTACCTGGCTGCCCAAATTTCCCAGGGCAAGGAGCAATGGAGGAGGATTGCAGGGTGACTATCCCTCATGGGGGCTGCTTTCTCTGTGCCCCCCCCCCCCATACACTCACCCTCTGCAAAAACTAAAAACAAAAACGGAGTCGAGTCGGCTCTCGGATAAGTAAATGGTTTCAGCTCGGTTCTTGCTGGACAGTCGCGAAGCTGCTGGAGAAGCGCTGGCAGGGCCAAGAATGACTGCGCGCTGACTCAGCCCCAGGATGCGCCCCTGCCTGCAGAGATGGCTTCCCTGGCCGCCACACCCAGGGCAGGTTTCTCCGGGACCCCAGCACCCTCTCAGCGGATGCAGAACTCGTCGGGCCTCTCCTGACCGCGTTTCCGAGCCTCCCAGCCAGCTCCCTGCTCGTCCCGGCCAGACACTCCCAGGCCAACCCTGGTGCGATCACTTTGCGTCTTCGTCTTGCTACGCAATTGAGAAACATTTGAGAAAAAGGCAGGAACCCGAGCCGCGGAGGCGCGGCCTCGCTTTTCAGATTTCCAAAGGATAAAACGGTGGCAGCCAGAGATCAGATTTTGTCCTGAATGACTGGTTCTGCCATCCCTCAATGGCCTTTCCACGTGTACCTAGACATTGCGAGAGAGGACAGGTTGTGGAATCCCCTAGGAGACCATCTTTTGGAGTTGTGGGTTTTAAGCAAACAGACCCGGTATGCGGACAGAGCCGCCTTATCCCGAGTGCGGGAACAAGCCAGGGAGCGAGAAAAGGGGCCAGATCAGAATGGCAGTATTTGTTTCCACGGCATAAAAGTGACATTCCGTTTTAAGATTTGAGCCCTGACCCTGCAAGAAAATCTTTAAGCGTTTCAAGTGCAGGTAAAGAGTGAGTTGTTTACAGAACCGCAGGGCTACCAGCTTGACCCGGGCCCTCCCGGGAGCAGCCGCCACCGCACCGTGGGGTTGGAGGTGGGACCGTGCGT